TAAACTGTAGAATTTGGCGTATAAACAAGCATAACTCAGATGCTTCCTCTCCATGCAAAGGCACAACGTCAATTTATTTGTCTTTGTATTTTTACTGAAGGTGTGTTTAGTCTAATGGGGACGGGGAGGCCTCCTGCACAGAAAATGTGCCAGGAGGATGCACTGTCAATATTTACATTTGTTGGTGAACTACAATGTTTGAATTTGCAAGTCTATTTTTGCTGCATGCGTTTGTATGTCTTTGAATGAGTTTGCACTGTTCAAATCGTAAAGCGCACACTTTTGCCACAAATTATCCACTATGCATGCACTTTTGCGGTATATCCTCACAAGTGATTACACATTGTATGGCTATACTTATCCCGGTGTCCATGGCAACATCCCTCAACTTTCCATGGCAAGTGTATCTGGTAAAGTCATCAGTGATCTGTGGTAACGCTGTTGCCATAACGACAGTGGTTGTGTCAGCGAAAGGCAGAAAAGAAAAGCCATTAAAAGGGATCACTACAGGACAGCACAGTTTCATAAAAGTGAAAGAAAGATCACAGGTAATATCTATCCTCCAAGAACAGCAGAAATTCCAGTAAGCAAACGCTGAACAGAAAATGCTCTGTAATGGGAGATAGTGAGAAAGAGAATGTTCCAGCAAATCTGGAGTCAAAAACCCTCTTTGCAGGCAATGTTCAATTAGGCTCAGCACTGTATGTAGGACCATGCTTTTCCGTTGACACACGTTATTTATTTCCTTGACTTGGGGTTGGGGATATGGTCAACCTTCACATGTCTCCAAACAGGATCTAAGAACCAGACACATTGGTGAAAGTGCAGTAAGAAAAGGGTATGTGCAATTTGAGAGGCGGGGCAGCATTTCAGCAGTTTAAAGTATGGTGCAGAGCAATTGCTTTACAATGGCCTTACAACTCTTAAGTCATGCACATGCATTGTAGCTTGTCAGCGATGGCTACTTGAGTACCAACAATTTAACAATAAACATAACAATAATTTAACAATAGTTTAACAACAGTCAAACAAAACATAAACACCATATTGACATCAATCTATTATGGTGGCGTTTGCACATTGAAAGTGGTCTGGGCTTTGCTTGAAACTGATACTTCACCGCAGTGCATCGGATGTCCTCAATAAAGAAGAATGTTTGTGAAAGCACCACAACTGTATAAGTCCTTCTAAATGTGTCAACACCTTGCCACAAAAAGGCATAAACACATGAATAATATGTGAGTTATTTTGCTAAAATGTATGGTAATGAGATTCAATCTCCACCCCCTTATTCTAAAACAATTCATTGGACTAGAAGCACTTGTGACCTAAGGGAGTTGCACAAGTTCCACAACATACACAGACACACCCAGACCTAGACACACCCTTTCTGGGTCCTCTGTGGGGGTCAAAGGTTGAGAGAGATATTTCTTACTGCCCTTTACCCAGAGCTGACTGCACACAAAGCTTAAATGCACATCAATACAATCATCTCTGTGTAAAGTGGTCTGTATGTTAAACGACCACTCTACATTATTTAAAATAAGATGACTCTTCAGTAATCTCAGTTACGCAGAAGTAAAATATGCTCGCAAAAGTTTGTCATTTCCTGTTTAACTTCTGGGGGGAATGCCATTAACAATTGTGATTACCTTTGTGCAAAGGAAGGAAGCGAAGTCTCCTCCCTCGCAAATGGAAACTCTTGGCCAAAGCCTTGGAAACCGTTTCTCATCCGCACACAGGCTTGAAAATCACTGCACCAGTTTAAGCACCACCTTCACACCCAATCCCGATTCATTCAAATAATCAATGATGAAAACGAAAAACTAGGATCCCCTGCTGCTCGTAATCACACAATTCTACGTGAGCCTTGACAGATTCACGCCGTGTCATCTGTCCGCGAGAATCTGTCCACAAGAGATGAACTCTTCAGTAACCCGGTAGCTAAGAGGTTAGCTAATAGATACCAGCCTAAGACAACAGAGGTAAACACAGTTGATGAAGCAATCATCTTAGTGTGTGCACTGCACGGGGAGGGACAGAGAATGTAGACTGTAGAAAAGGGGTCCTCTGTGTTGTTCCCTGATGTACAGATAAGAAAGGAGTGGTCATAAATACTTCACTGACACTTTTGAGGCCAAATAAGGCAAAAGGTGATTCGATCAGGTGATAAATTGATTAGTAGAGCATGCTCTGATGTAAGTTTGGAATGAATAGGTCAACTGTTTTGAAAGCAATAGGGTCAACTGGTAATCACATCCCGTGCTAATCTGAAATGGTAGTAAGTGCCCAAACTAAATTGTAAGGAGGTGCTTAAATTAATATATTTAAAGATCTTGAATTTGTATATGGCTCTTGCATTGACGATAGTGTGTCGATATTGTCACTCACCCGCACATGTTTTTCATGGTATGTAAGACTGTTAAACTGTCTGTGGACATTACAGTCACACAGCTCACACACTTGGATCTATTTCAAGGGAGTGAGGGAGTCACCCATAATGTATTTCTCAAGGTTTCCATGGCAATAACAAGGCCAAGGGGTTTGTTGGTGGGACGAGAAGGGATGGAGAGAGGAAGGAGGGTTTGGCTCAAGGAGTGATGACTCACTCTCTGAGACTAGAGAGGAAAGGTGGAGAGGGGCAACAGTGCCAAGGTATTGTGTACTATCACAAATGATTGATTTATTATCACAAATGCTCACACCCAACAGAAACCTCTGTAAAAACAGTAGCCAAATGATAGCCTCTCTCTTTACATAACATCTATCCTGATTGATGTTGTACAGCTCAATAATACTGGAATTTCCTTCCTGAAAAGATGACCCTACTCATTGTGGTAGGCAGCACATATTGCTACATCATACAAGTAGTATTGAGGTAATCAAGATTACGAACACAACAGCACCCTAGTCATAGACTGTTCTCTCTGCTACCGCACGGCAAGCGGTACCGTAGTGCCAAGTCTAGGTCCAAAAGACTTCTCAACAGCTTCTACCCCCAAGCCATAAGACTCCTGAACAGCTAATCATGGCTACCCAAACTATTTGCACTGCCCCCCCACCCCCACCCCTACCTTTTACGCTGCTGCTACTCTGTTAATTATTTATGCATAGTCACTTTAACTCTACCCACATGTACATATTACCTCAACTACCTCAACTAGCCGGTGCCCCGGCACATTGACTCTGCACCGGTATCCCCTGTATATATAGCCTCCCTACTGTTATTTTATTTGACTTCTGCTCTTTTTTTCTCAACACTTTTTTGTTGTTGTTTTATTTTACTTTTTTTATTAAAAAATAAATGCATTGTTGGTTAAGGGCTGTAAGTAAGCATTTCACTGTAATGTCTACACCTGTTGTATTCGGCGCATGTGGCCAATAACATTTGATTTGATTCGATTTGACTATAGCTAGACAAAGGTCTATTTGCCTGCAACTTTTGGCAGCCTTCAGTAAATCATAACACAGTTAGCCATCATCACCTTATCACCATGATATTCTGACATGGGTTTCTGTAACATGTTGCCCCAGACACAGATAATGCATGCAGCCTCAGGCCTCGCTCCATACTACTACAACAAGTCCCATTGGGTGAAAATAACGAGTACCTAGCTGTTCGGTGCAGTTGTCCCAGTTTCCATTTATAACTGGTTGTGCTGAGACATTACTACGGCTGATTGAGAACATGATGGTTCAGAAAATTATTATTTAACTAATAGTAAAGCTTATATTTAAAATTTAATTTTTTTGTCATTTAGCAGACGCTCTTATCCAGAGCGACTTACAGTTAGTGAGTGCATACATTTTATGAGGTCAATTAATTTTAAAAAAACGGTGTCTGTGATATGATATCAGGACATGGCCTATTGGCAGCAGTAATTCATACAAGTTCATTCATTCATACAAGTTATTAAAACCCTGAGTGGTTCTAAGCTCATTACGTTCATGGTTTACAAGGCATCCTGTTTCACACCTTCAATACAGTATCTAGCTGGACCTGTCTGCAACCAGGTAATGAAACAAAGAGCAATAGTTCTACTTGGCAACTTCATTCCATGAGATTTACTGACAAGCTTCTGAACCCTTGTCATGTGACAAATTTGACTATTTAAAGCTATGCTGAGAGGTGACTCTGTTCAACTGCATGACAATTTGAATAAGCTGAGGGAGTGCTAAAGAAAAGGTAAAACAAAGTTTAGATTAACAGATAAATACATTAAAAAGGGTTCATAAATCAGTTGATACACTTATGTACAGATCATTTATGAATCTGTAGAAAATGGTTAGTAATACATTGGTTTAAATTGTGTGGTTGACATTTTGATGTTTTACAAATAGTGTGATAGTAAAAAAAATCACACCCTTTAAACCAATTAATTATGTGTGTTTATTATTGATTCCTAAACTCAACTAATGATTAACAATCTACTTATAAAGCCTAGATTAATGTAAAGTGTTACCATCCAAACCTACTAAAACACAATGATACCTGAGCATACAACAACATAAATAGATCTGAAAGTTTAGCAAGGAGCAGGGTAAGGACTGACACAAGGCCTCAGATCTGTTTACACAATAGCCTGTGGGGACATGCTGCTATCATATTTCACCTCAGGCTTTCACATTTCAACAGTTATTCTAAAGCCCCAGCCCCTATGCTGTACCTTCATCACGGAAGAAAACACCCCAAAATACCTACAAAATGCTGTTTTTCCTAACAGGCTCCAAAAGCCAGGTTATAATTTGGTAGGCTTGTGTTAGAAACAAAAAGTGTTCTGTTACACTGCACAACTCCTCCCTCTCCTACCCTTCACCCAGAGGCCTGGCCAATGAGAGTTGGCCATTGGCCCCTCCCACCAGGGAGGCTCTTAAAACCAGTGCTGTAGCTAATTCTCTGTCTATCCACTCCGGTTTCCCCAGTACTCAAGACAAGCCCGCCTGCCACTTTATCGCCCTCTGATTTTCCTGCACTCACCAACCATTCAAGACCAGTCAGAATGTCAGTCAGGAAAACCACCAGCTATACCGTCAAGTCCTCTTCCTCTGGGGCAGCCCCTCGCAGCTTTAGCAGCATGTCCTACTCTGGACCCAGCCAGGGGGCCTCACGCCAGAGCTACAGCGCCCGCAGCTCCTATGGAGGGGCCAACAGAGGCATGGGAGGTGGGTTCGGGGCCGGTGGTGGAGGCGGCAGCTACATTTCCAGCTCCTCTGCCTATGGAGGTGGCATGGGCCTAGGGATGGGGATGGGGATGGGGATGGGGATGGGGATGGGGATGGGTGGCGGCTCTCATGCCCCCATCACTGCTGTCCAAGTGAACAAGAGCCTGCTTGCCCCCCTCAACCTGGACATCGATCCCAACATCCAGATCGTCCGCACCCGTGAGAAAGAACAGATCAAGGGCCTCAACAACCGCTTTGCCTCCTTCATCGATAAGGTCAGTCCTGGTAACTTGTCTGTCTGTCTGTCTGTCTTTCTGTGCCTATGAAGATATCTGACAATGTATTTTGCCTGGAGCTTGTAAACTACCAGAAAACTTTAAAGGGAAGTACAGACAGTCATGTACTCTGGGATTTTTATTAATCTATCTCTATTAGCCATTAGAATGCTGAGGTGTGGAACAGTGGAGAAGATCCATAGAAAGTCCACTTTGTGTAACGCTGGTACATGCCATGGGAGCTCTGTTACAGTATGTTAGGTTGATTACACGCACAAGCAAACTCATGAGTTTGGAAAAGGGAAGGAAATGTAGAAAAGTCTGATATTGAACAAAGCACAGATACAGTCGAACAAACTAATTGTGATCGTTTTTCCCTGGGTTCTCAAGAATTCACATCTAATGATTTTGCAGTAATTGTCCTTTTATAGTGATGAATAACAAAAGTGCAGCAGGGTGGGGTGGGGGAGAGAGTTTCTACAGAAGGGTGTGTCTGTCTCTGGTTAGAGTATAGCTCATAGCTAGTGATCTGGTTCACTTTGGGAATGGCTACCCTGACCCTGCAGAGGGGTGTATGTGTCCTGCCCCCACCCTGGAGGACATGACAAATAAGGTAGATGGAGGGCAATATCTGAACACGGTCAAACATCAATAGATAACATTTACAAGTGATAGCAATGTTTGATATTGCTTTAATTCATGCCTGGGGGCGTTTTCGTTATGGCTTTTCTACTGGCCTATCTGTCTCACATGCGTAGCCTGCTCCAGTGGGTTAATATTTAAAAAGGGCAGCTGGTTTCATGTTCTAGCTAACAACAGTGGATTGATTACATAAAAAGGAACAAAACTAATTAGAAATAGATTTCTCCACTGCATGCTTCCAAATAAACTAAATAATAGTTAGCAAATAGCCCATAATTCCCTTTTATACTTATTTCTAGGTATTGACTCTTAGCCAATAACAGTTGATGCGGCCATTTTAGCAGAATTCCTGATCTCACCTGAGGTTCAGCCAGGAGCAATGTCCACTGAGAGCCATCTATCTATTTTCTCACCCATTTTTAGTGAGCCAACATGTCAGCCTGCATGCTCTCGCCCTCCCCCATTACACCTACCTGTATACTGCAGTTAAATATGTACATTCTAGCCAGTTAGATGAAGCCCCTCCCACACCTTTGTCCTGTTCCCCTCTATTCTCCACCTCCCGACCTCTCGCTTTTAAAACAGGAAAACATGAAGGAAGTCTAAAGCACCAGCTCTTTCCATCTGCCCCCTCTGCCTCCAGTCAGGATGCACATCATAGCTTCCTTGGAAAAACAGCTTGCTAGGTCTAGCCTGAAAACAGAGTCAGCTGCCCCTACAATTTCCAAACACTAATTGAAGCAATAAACACCCTAATTTCTCCATTGGAAGATTGGAAAGTTCACATGAGGATGACATGATAGTCATGGATGAGTCATGTTAGCCCACCATCGAAGTTCCTAATGTCCTTTTATTCTAAAATGATATTCTTAACTTTATTTTCTTGTATAAAAAACTGAAAAAGGCCCAAAGGCATCAATATAATGTGATACACTTGTGATCAATGTGCCTATCAAATGAATAAACATCTACCCCCTCTCTCTACACACAGGTACGCTTCCTGGAACAGCAGAACAAAATGCTGGAGACCAAGTGGGGCCTCCTCCAGGGACAGACCACCACCCGCTCCAACATTGATGCCATGTTCGAGGCCTACATCGCCAACCTGCGCAGACAGTTGGACAGCCTGGGCAACGACAAAATGAGGCTGGAGGCTGACCTGCACAACATGCAGGGTCTGGTCGAGGACTTCAAGAACAAGTGAGTTAGACTTCAAGAACAAGTGACTTCAAATGACACTCATTTTACCTAGCAGATCATCAGCCACATTCTCAGGAAATGCTTTGATTGGGCTTCTGTCCCAGTGCATAGCACCATTGTAGAGATAAGGTCATGGAACGCATGTTAGTAAAGGGAGTTTCATGGTTTTTGATTTAATCAGTAATACAGGACACTCCAGTAATAGGTCATCTCAGTACTATGGATGGACAACACCCAACTGCAGTCCATTGTTTTCACATCATTGAATAAGCGTTCCTGGAGGGAACATTCTATTTCATATGTCTGGAGGTGAAAATAATTTAGATGACAGAGCTGGATGTCTTTCAGCTTCATGTCACACAGATAGCTGCATCATGGCGCACACACCAGTGCCACATATATGTCGGAACTGACAAATGATATGAGCACATAAGCAGTCTATGTCCTTAGGAGTAAAGAAACACCGCACAAGTTTGGCATGGAGTCAAGATACCACAGTAGAAAACAATTCCCAGACTCATATTTGTTGTGGACGTAGCACTCATGCCCCCTAGTGTTAAAACGGTATATTAACTATATAACAACAATAACACATAATAAATAGTTACAATGTAATTATGACATAGAAATATATAAATGTAATCTTGAATATATGATTATCTGAAAAAAGCTAACATAGCTCTCTATCTTCTTCTCAGGTATGAAGATGAGATCAACAAGCGTACAGAGTGTGAAAATGACTTTGTGCTCATTAAGAAGGTTAGTAACTTAAGTTTGGATCCCATTCATTTTTTCTGGCATTCTCTTACTGTCATCTTGCCATCTTATTAACATATTGATTGTGAATGTTCCACTCAGGACGTGGATGAGGCCTACATGAACAAGGTTGAGCTGGAGGCTAAGCTAGAGAGCCTGACCGATGAAATCAACTTCCTGAGGCAGATCTATGAGGAGGTATGGCACTGAGCTCATCACTTAGCTACTTCAGTTGTTAATAAGACACTCATTCATTACAACCAGATGTGTTGTTGGCGGCTTCCAACAACCGCTTTGATGTATTTGCGTATAGTTTATTTATTTACTGAGATACGGAATATGGATCTGCAGTTTTACTGACATCTGTTTGGCATCTCGACTTTGACGTCAAACAGATGGACTCAATCTGGGTGGGGTTTTATCTCTGGGGTAGGCAGAAGTCTGAAAGCCTTATCTGCAATAGGCCAAGTGTTTGATGGTCTCTCTCTCTCTTCCCTCTCCTCTCTCTCTCTCCTTCTCTCTCTCTCCAGGAGCTGCGTGAGCTGCAGGACCAGGTTAAGAACACCTCAGTGGTGGTGGAGATGGACAACAGCCGTAACTTAGACATGGACGCCATTGTGGCTGAAGTGCGCGCCCAGTATGAGGACGTCGCCAACAAGAGTCGGGCCGAGGCGGAGACATGGTACAAGAGCAAGGTACAGTAATGGGCTCCTCTATAGTGGTTAAATATATTTTCTCCCTTTGGTCGCTGAATTATGTTCAGGGCTGCTAATAGCCTTTCAGTACACTGTATGTGGTTAAAATGAACATAAGTTGATGTCAAATGGTTCTTTCACACTAACCATGTATAACCAACAAACCATCCGCTGTCTCCTCTGTTGGATGTTTAGTATGAGGAGATGCAGACATCTGCCACCAGATATGGGGATGACCTGAGATCCACCAAGACAGAGATCTCCGACCTGAACCGCATGATCCAGAGGCTGCAGTCTGAGATCGACTCCGTCAAGGGACAGGTACGCAACAAAGACTCTCTGTGCTAATGTATATAGTAAGTATAAGCTGGAAGTAGAGGCCTAAGCATTGTTGTTCACTAGTTTACTCCAATTAGGGAAAGGGTGGTGGGGTTGGAAAGTAATAAAGGGGAATATATATATATATTTTAAGGATATGTATGTGTATGTATGTTTATGTATGTATATGTATGTGTGTATGTGTGTATGTATGTATATACAGTTGAAGTCGGAAGTTTACATACACTTAGGTTGGAGTCATTAAAACATTCCACAAATTTCTTGTTAACAAACTATCATTTTGGCAAGTCGGTTAGGACATCTACTTTGTGCATGACACAAGTAATTTTTCCAACAATTGTTTACAGACAGATTATTTCACTTATAATTCAATGTATCACAATTTCAGTGGGTCAGAAGTTTACATACACTAAGTTGACTGTGCCTTTAAACAGCTTGGAAAATTCCAGAAAATGATTTCATGGCTTTAGAAGCTTCTGATAGGCTAATTGACATCATTGAGTCAATTGGAGGTGTACCTGTGGATGTATTTCAAGGCCTACCTTTAAACTCAGTGCCTCTTTGCTTGACATCATGGGAAAATCTAAAGAAATCAGCCAAGACCTCAGAAACAAAATTTCCAAACGCACCACATTCATCTGTACAAACAATAGTAAGCAAGTATAAACACCATGGGACCACGCAGCCGTCATACCGCTCAGGTAGGAGACGCGTTCTGTCTCCTAGAGATGAACGTACTTTGGTGCAAAAAGTGCAAATCAATCCCAGAACAACAGCAAAGGACCTTGTGAAGATGCTGGAGGAAACGGTTACAAAAGTCTCTATATCCACAGTAAAACGAGTCCTATATCGACATAACCTGAAAGGCCGCTCAGCAAGGAAGAAGCTACTGCTCCAAAACCGCCATAAAAAAGCTTGACTACGGTTTGCAACTGCACATGGGGAGGACTTTTTGGAGAAATGTCCTCTGGTCTAAAATGGGTCTTCCAAATGGACAATGACCCGAAGCATACTTCCAAAGTTGTGGCAAAATGGCTTAAGGACAACAAAGTCAAGGTATTGGAGTGGCCATCACAAAGCCCTGACCTCCAGCCTATAGACAATTTGTGGTTAGAACTAAAAAGCGTGTGCGAGCAAGGAGGCCTACAAACCTGACCAGCTCTGTCAGGAGGAATGGGCCAAAATTCACCCAATTTATTGTGGGAAGCTTGTGGAAGGCTAATCCGAAAAGTTTGACCCAAGTTAAACAATTTAAAGGCAATGCTACCAAATACTAATTGAGTATATGTAAACTTCTGACCCACTGGTAATGTGATGAAAGAAATAAAAGCTGAAATAAATCATTCTCTCTACTATTATTCTGACATTTCACATTCTTAAAATAAAGTGGTGATCCTAACTGACCTAAGACAGGGAATTTTTACTAGGATTAAATGTCAGGTATTGTGAAAAACTGGGTTTAAATGTATTTGGCTAAGGTGTATGTAAACTTCTGACTTCAACTGTATGTATATGTATGTATATATGTATGTATGTGTGTATATATATATATATATATATATATATAAAACATGGGGGATTGGAAGTGATGCAGAAAATTACATTGTCTGTGCTAAGAATTAGATTGGTGGTATGTAGACCCACATGATGTAGACAGAATAGAGTATTTTTCAAGGGCATTATCAATTTGATAATAAGCAGAAGTAGTGACATGCTGTGTCTTTCTCTTGTGTTAGCGTGCCAACCTGGAGAACCAGATAGCCGAGGCTGAGGAGCGCGGTGAGATTGCAGTGAAGGACGCCAAGCTCCGCATCAGGGACCTGGAGGATGCCCTCCAGAGAGCCAAGCAGGACATGGCCCGCCAGATCAGGGAATACCAGGACCTGATGAACGTCAAACTGGCCCTGGACATTGAGATTGCCACCTACAGGAAACTGCTGGAAGGAGAGGAGGACAGGTGAGCATTTTGACATACACGGAAATGGGAAACGTCAATTTGAAAGTACAGTGTAATGTTAATATAAGATAATGGACATTTATTACCAAAAACGAACATTTTCAAATGGTCTTCTTTTCACTACCAGGCTAGCAACTGGTATCCAGTCCATCAACATAACCAAACAGAGCTGTAAGTACCTGCTTTCTTCAAATAAAACCCAGTGTTTTCCCCTTCTGTGTTGTGGTGCATTCATAACATCTTGGACATTCATATTTAGCCAGCCCCTATTTATCTTTTGTCTCTCTCTGTGTCACCTTACAGCTAGCTACAACTCCTTCCCCTCTGAGAGTGTTAACAGCAGCTACTCCAGTGGCTACTCCAGTGGCTTCTCCGGCGGATACGGTGGTGGATACGGTGGTGGATACGGCGGTGGATATGGCGTTGGCAGCAGCTACAGCTCCGGTAGCGGCTACGGCGGTGGCAGCAGCACCAGCGTCACCACCCAGAACAAGAAAAGTGTCGTCATCAAGATGATCGAGACCAAGGATGGCAAAGTTGTTTCTGAGTCATCTGAAGTGGTTGATGATTGAGCGGCTGGATAATGCCCCCTCGTCTACTCTCTTGCTCACCATTCCACTACAGTGTACCAATTCAAGTTAAAGGCAAACAATGCTACATGAGAAGAAATATAAATGTGGCTGTTAAGCAATAAACATTTTTAATCCAACCAAAGATTTGAAAGGGACCAAATAATATTTTTCTCGTTCTTACTGTATGTCTTATGCCTTTTCTAATTCTGTACTAAAACCAAATGCCTGCAGTTTGCTACACAATAAGAAAATAAGCAAAACCATAAGTTGCAACTTGTAGAACATTCCCTCCAAACCTATGCAACCCTGTTAACTGTATAGAGTTCAGTTGCATGAAATGGATGATAATGTTGTGTCCATGTGTAGTGTTGCTCAGAGTGAGTGTGAATGTAACAGTGCAGCAGCAGTGTTTTTGGTCAACTAGTCTAAAATGTCTGCTAGGCTAAGTAGTAGTGCATGTCTTCCCTGTTGTGTTCTATTGGACCCAAAAGAAGCTGCCCACAGTGTACTGTTGCCTGAGGTGCTGTTTTTGCTACCAAACAATTAAATGTGTTTACTGAAAACTGCTTGTGTTTGAGTTTCTCGTTTTTATTCTGCATGCATATAATAAACATTTTTATTGTGAATTCCAACATGGCAGCCATTATTGCGTAATCTAGAATTATGAGCTGTGTTCAACCCTGTCATTCAGAATTTCCCAACATGGGTTGCATAAATAAATGAGTATCCAATGTCATGAAGTCAGTGTAAAAACCTGAAATAATGGCTGTGTTCAAGAGGATCAAAACCATGGGTAAATTGTGACTGACTGACTGATCTACAAATAATAATTAGTATTTATTTATTATGCACGTTTTTTTGTTATTTAAAATAAAATAAATTGCCGTGTGTGAAAGGCGCTGATGTGATGCGAGAAGGAGAGAGAGAGAGGGGCTTTTTTAAAGCACAGGGGCTGAACACTTTTATCCTTCTAGCACTTTCTTCTGAGGCGGAATCCCTCAGACGCTGAGCCGTGTGATCTCAGAGCCGGCCCCTAAGCCCCGGGTGGACCGGGGGTAGATGCTGCGTTACATTTGGTGTCAGAAGTGGGATCTGCTAAGTCCACTGGGGTCTGTGTGTGTCTGACACTCTCTCTCTCTCAGGGGCCCCTAGGCTAAAGTAGAGTGATCATCTCCAGAGACACACATGCTGCCGTGTCATACATACATACGCTATATATACAAAAGTATGTGGACACCCCTTATGCAAGGTTCTTTGTAGATCAGTCAGTCGGCAGTCACCTGCACTGTCGGCTCCAAAGTCGAACGAGCCCAATGTTAGTAAAACTGGAAAAGAAGGGGAGGAGACAGAGAAGCATCCAGTGGTAGTAAAGGAGAAGGGGCACAAGTTGAAGGTGATATACACCCCAACAAATTACTCCACACCTCCACACAAGCCTTTCTTGGACTGTGATAATATATTGCACACCATTCTACTGTACATAACACCAAAATAATCACCAGTGACGTGCAGTATAAGTGACATACATGTCTATGTCCCAGACTCAGTGCAGTGATGATGAACTGGGCACACTGGTTGAATCAACGTTGTTTCCATTTAATTTCTGTATGCATTAAGAAGCCTTTAGCCAAAATGTCCCAATAAACTACTTTTTTTTATATTCTTGTTTCACCATTAGCAGCCTAGATATGCAATCATTTTATTTGCGCTCAGAAGACAAGAATTTTGAGTGACTGTCAAAAATGTAATTTAAAGAAACCATACAGGTAACTGTCAAAATAAAGGAAACACCAGCATAGTGTCTGGGCCACCATGAGCCAGAACAGCTTCAATGCACCTTGGCATAGATTCTACAAGTGTCTGGAACTCTATTGGAGTGATGCAACACCATTCTATTGGAGGGATGGAACACCATGAGGCAGCCATAGCATATGGTTTATGTCATTTTCATGCAAATCAAACCCTTCAGTGACCACTTGTGCCCTGTGGATGGGGGCATTGTCATCCTATGGGGGCATAGCCATGATAGCCAAAAAATGATGGCCTGCCCAGCCTAAGCATGGAACCACACCTGTGTGGAAGCACCTGCTTTCAATTGCCTTTGTATCCCTCATTTACTCAAGTGTTTCCATTATTTTGGCAGTTACCTGTACTTGCAGGCCTGCCAGAGAGAGAGAGAGCTCTCTCAATACATCCTCTCAGCCGGTAGAGGGAGCAGTATAGCATGTGGTGTACTCTGTGGTAGAAGTCAGACTGAGTTATTTTGCACTGCTCACCAGGGGGCAGCATCGTATGACAATAGCTTCACTCCACCTCATCGCCCAACACCTTGATATGTTCCTCGATAGGCTGTTGACCACTCCCTCTTTCAGAATGCACATGCATTTCTGTGACTGAAGTGGTGTGATACTATATGTAAAATACAAATGAATCAACATGTACTCAAATATGACATGATCAATGAGGTGGGCTTTCCCTTAGGTAGGCTGGCCTGATAACAATGGCCAGCTAATGCAGCCTAAGTGCATATTTCATGTATTTACTATGCATAAAACATAAATGCTGGCATGCAGCACTCCAACCCATATCTCATGTGAATTGTTAGATTAATGTAAAGTACCACCATATAATTTATTCAGCTAGAAGCTAAAAATAAAAGTTTGTTGCACCGTAGTCAGAGTGCCTAGCCAGATAGCTACTCCACCACGCCTACTAGTTGAATGGATACGGCAGATATGGAGGAGCATGAGGATTTTCACCTTTATCCAGCAGATTTACTCCCTCACCCCACAAAACACGTATCTTTCACAATGTTTTCAGCACTTCAATGCCAATCCAAACATGTCTTATAGAAATCAGTATCAAAAAATGTATGTACAGCAGCCTGGGAGGACAGGACACTATCTTTCAACACACCGTGTAACTCTTCTGCAGTAAAATCTCGTACACCCAAGTAGTTCTCTGCAGCTGCCACCACAATATATATTTTCTGTGATTTACGTTCCATTTTTGCGGTACAGTTGATAAACATGGCAATAAACGCTAAGAAGCCAACATTACTGAAGCACAAGTTATTCCTATCACTCTCTATTGGCCTCTACCTACTCACAGGGACTCTTAGGATCCCCCGAACTCTGCGGCCTTCACCACACCTGCCAGCGCAGGTAATTCATCCTCACTCTTGTTAGAATGACAAGAGTGTGCAAAGCTGTCATCAAGGCAAAGGGTGGCTACTTTGAAGAATGTCATATAAAAAATATATTTAGATTTTTTAAACACTTTTCTGGTTACTACATGATTCCATATGTGTTTTTTCATAGTTTTGATATCTTCACTATTATTCTACAATGTAGAAAATAATAAAAATATAGAAAAACCCTTGAATGAGTAGGTGTGTCCAAACTTTTGACTGGTACTATATGTTTTTGGTTTCCTATTGGTTCTGGGAACAAGGCTATACATTTTCTGACCGTTAAAACTGAACTTTTTTAAACATTCTTAGAACGGAAGTAAAAATGTTGCCTGTTCTGGGAACATACATTTTTAGGTTGTCACGATCGTCTGGGTAAGGAGTAGTAGACCAAGGCGCAGCGTGTGAAATAAACATGACTTTATTTAATTAAAGTTCCTAAATATAAACAAAACACGATTCGTGAAGTCCACGGTTAAACATACCGTCACGGAACAAAAACCCACAGGAAAACATACAGATTAAATATGGCTCCCAATCAGAGATAACGAGCCGACAGCTGACACTCGTTACCTCCGATTGGGAGTCATTGACCAAACATAGAAATAAACCCAACAGAAATACAAACATAGAAAATGAACACATAGAATGCACACACCCTGGCTCAACATAATGAGTCCCAGAGCCAGGGTGTGACAGTACCCCCCCCTAAAGGCGCGGTCTGCGACCGCGCCTCAAAAACCCCAAACAGGGGAGGGCTGGGCGGGCATACCTCCTCGGTGGCGGTTCTGGCTCCGGCCTAGACCACCACCCTCCGATACACCCCCCAAAGTACCCCTGGTCCTGTCTAGCCCCGCTGGCCGGAGCCGGACTGACGACACGCGCCCCTGGCTTGGTGCGTGGAACAGGAATGGACCGGAATGGGCTGGCGACGCGCACCACAGACCTGGTGCGGAGAGCAGGAACGAGCCGGACAGGGCTGACGACGCACCCCGTAGGCCTGGTGCGTGGAGGAGGAACGGGCCTTACCAGGCTGACGACTCGCACCCCTGGCTTTGTGCGTGGAGGAGGAACGGGCCTTACCAGGCTGACGACTCGCACCCCTGGCTTTGTGCGTGGAGGAGGAACAGGCCTTACCAGGCTGACTTCTCGCACCCCTGGCTTAGTGCGAGTGGCAGGAACAGGCCGGACCGGGCTGGCGACGCGCACCGTCGGTTTGGTGCGAGTGGCAGGAACAGGCCG